CATAGCAATTGGTGGGAAAGACTACAATCAGGCCCTTCTTAGTCTTTAAACTGACATCATTGCTCTTCAGGTCATTAAAGAGGTCCCTGACAGGAGACTTTTCCAATGCTATATGTCTCCTGATCTCCTGACTGTTGGCATCAAGGAAGCGGATTGTGAATCTAAGAAAGATAAGATTATTATATCAATCTTTTCTTCATCTATCATGATGTTGTCTATTGGCACAGTGGTGAGAATTTTCTTTTTTTTTTTGTGAATACATAATCCATAGTGATGCTGCAGTCCTTGATCTTCTGCAGCAAGCACCTCAAGTTCTTACTTTCAGCAAGCAAGGTTGTATCATCTGCATTACACAAGCTGTGAATGAGCCTTTCTCTGATCTTGATCCCACACTCTTCTCTAAAGTGTAGATTCTCATATTGAATGACCTAAGAAGCATCAAAATAAGATGGTGTAAATACACAGAGACACTGTGGAAAAAAAATTGGTGTACATTGAAATATTTCTGGAAGTAGCATGTGACAAAGAGCCAGTGCTAATGAGGAAAGGTCAGGCTGCAATGAAAACACCGTCAAAAAATAAGGCCCCAGGAATTGATGGGATGCCAATTGACATGTTTCAGTTAGCATGAGCCATGGATGTGCTCACCAGTCAGTGGCAGAAAATTTGGAAGTCTACTACCTGGCCAACTGACCGAAAGAGATCCTTATTTGTTTCCATTCCCAAAAAACGTGATCCAACAGAGTATAGAAATTATCAAGCAATATAATTAATATCACACACAAGCAAAATATTGCTCAAGATCATCCAAAAACTAGTAAAACAGTACATTCACAGAGAACTTCCAGAAATTCATGCTGGAACCACTAATCATTTGGTTAGTAGAAAAATGCTTTAGCCACAGTCCAACTAGAGCTGCTGAACAACATACAAAATATATATAGTTCAGTAGAGAAATAAGTATGTAGACAATAGATAATTTAAATCTGTTTTCAGTGAATGGATTGGAAGTAAGAGAAGTAAGTTGGAGAAACAATACCCATTCTGGTTATCTAGTTAAAACTGAATGTTTATAGTTCAAGGATTATATGGATAGATGCCTTTCAATTTTGGTGTTGGTGAAGTGTATTAACTATACCACGGGACAAACAAATCCATCTTGGGGGCCAGGATGGTGAACCTTCATCTCACATACTTTGGGTATACTGTCAGGAAGGGTCAGTCCTTGGGGAAAGACATGATACTGGGAAAGGTGGAAGGTCAGAGAAGAGAGGAAGGCCATCAACAGAATGGACTGAAACAATGGGTTAGAGCATGGCAAAGATCATGCTGATGGTAGCTTAGGGCAAGGTTCAGATCTATTGTTCACAGAGTCACCATGAGTAGTAGTGGACTTGATGGCACCTAACAAAAACAATTCAAGAGTCGTACATAGGGACATGGGCAAATATACTGACTCTTGTCCCAGCAGTTTCTATCAATTCCTTATCATGAACTTGTGCTTGCCAGATTGACTTTAATAAAAGTTCACAGTCTGAAACCTGTTAATAATTTCCTCACTAATCTGCCCCAAGCTCCTTGTTACTTGATAAGGCTTGTGTTTGGTGGAAGGAATGTGCCAGCTGGAGGGTTGCCTCATGCACACATTGCAAAGGTGAGATGAGGACTCTGTTAGTTTCTCTGATTGTTGTTGTTTGTTGATCAACGTTTGACTGAACCATCTGAGGCAGAAATAATAAAATATTAAGGACTCCATTATTCACCTGAATCAGTAAAACCTTACTAATTTCTTGACCTTGATTGTGTGTTAGAATGAATGCTTGGGGAGCTTTGAAAAACAGTGACATCTAAGTTTTATTTCCACCCCCTCCCCCAAGATTATGTGGTAACTGGACTGAGATGCAGCCTGGACACAGGAATTTTTAAAGCTCCCCAGGAGATTTTAATATGCATGCCAGAGTAAGACACATTACTCTCCAATGCTTCCGTGTATACCAGGTTAATATGACTTGTTAAACATTATCGGTTGCTTCTAAAGTAATTCTCAGATAATTTACTCTTGCACTAATGACTCTGAGTTGAAAGTAATTTAAGTTTTGTTTCTTGCTACCCAGGAAACAACACAAAGTGCCAAATTCATGAAATAGTTAACTATTTTGTTAATATCTGTCCTAATAAAAAAGTTCTTTCCAAAATGAGCTTTTTCAAATAAGTTAGAGGTACTGAAAAATTTCAGGAAGTATCAATGGTAATGAAAGAAGAAGTTGAAGTTGCACTAAGGGCACTGGTAAAAAATAAGACCCCAGGAATTGATGGGTTACTAATTGGCATGTTTCAACTAAAAGATACAGCCCTGGACATGTTCACCAGTTCATGCTAGAAAATTTGGAGGGAAACTGCCTGGCCAACTGACTAGAAGAGATACATGTTTGTTCCCATTCCCAGGAGAGGTGATTCAACAGAATGTGAATACTATCTAATAAAATCATTAATATAAAAAGTAAGCAAAATATTGCTCAATATTTTCCAAAACTGGCTAGAACAGTTCATTGATAAGGAACTTTCAGAAGTACAAGTGGGCTTTAGAAAAGGCCATAGCATCAAGGATATCATTGCTATGTCAGATGCATCTTGACTGAAAGCAAAAAATACCAGAAGAATGTCTATTTGTATTTTATTGACTATGTATGCAAAGGCATTTGATTGTGTGGATCATAACAAATTATGGCTTATACTTAGAAGAATTTGTATCCCAGAACACTTAGTTATCTTCATACGAAACCTGCATCTCAAAGCTATTATCAAAACAGAGCAAGGAAAGACTGTATTGTTTAAAATCAGAAAAGGTGTACCTCAGGGTTGTATCCTTTCTCCATACCTATTCAAACTGTATGCTGAACAAATAATTCAGGAAGCTGTACTCTATGAAGAAGCATATGGCTTCAAGGTCAGAGGGAGAGTCCTCAAAACCTGCATTATAGAGATGAGCCAACCTCACTTGCTGAAGGTGAGGAGGACTTGAAGCATTTGCCGCAGAAGATCAAAGACAACTGCCTTCAATATAGTTTTCATCTCAGCATCAAGAAGACATAAATCCTCACCATCAGACCAATAAGCAATGTAATGATGAATGGAGAAAAGTTTAAAATTGTTAACAAATCCATCTTACTTCAATCCACGTTGATTAACTCCCTTGTTACCAGCAGTCAGGAAACCAGGAGACACACTACATTGGGTAAGACCACTGCCAGGGACCTTTCCAAAGTACTGAGAAGCAGCGATGTTAGTGAGAAGGCTAAGATATGCCTGATTCAGGCCATGGATTTTCAATCACTTGCTGTGCCTCTGAGAGATGGAAAATTAATAAGGATAACAAAAGAAGAATTAAAGCCTTTGAATTGTGTTAGAGTATTGAATAGCCTATAAACTGCCAAAAGAACAAACAGATATTTTTATTTAAAAAAACAAAATACAACCAGAATGTTCCTAGGTAGTAAGAATGGCAAAACTTTGTCTCACACATTGTGGGCTCATTAGTAGGCGTCTTCAGAGCAGAAAATGGGACATGGAGGCACACAGGCCCTTGAACATCTCTCTGAAAGAGCCTGAGGCACAGCCTTTCACCTTCCCAGAGCAGAAAGCAAATAAAGAGCCCATATCCCAGACTTATGGTGCCTCTAGAGCCATGTCAAAAGAAAGAGGTTTGTTTATTTGTTGTTGACTCACAGACTCACAGTTGTGGTACTAAGAATGGGGTTTAATAAGGAAGTAATTTGGAGAATGAGGGAGGCAAAGAATATTACCCAATACAAGTCTAGGTTTTAGCCCAAGTTCCAAGGCATAATTCCTCAATTAGTCCAGGCTTTGGTTTTAGTTCAGGAGTCAAATGCAAATCATCCAGCAAGTTTTGCCTCAGAGCAGTTATAAGTTATCTTCTCCTTCAAGTATTCAACAACAACAGCCAAAACCTTTAACTTACACAAATGCAAGAAGTCTCCAGTCACACCCTGTCATAGTTTCTCCACAGAAATGTCACAGTCTCTCCAACACCAGGGTCTCACTCTCAACTAGGGTCTTGCTCCAGTCTCCCTCAAGTCTCACCACCACAAGTTTTGTCTCTCCTCAAGTGTTGCTGTTCAGTGTGGAAAGCACTCTTTCTATTATCCTAGTCCAACAGCTGTTCATGATTTGCAAGACCATGTGTCTACAGTTAAGGTAGCTAGAGACCAGAAGGGGCTAACGGTAATGGCTAAAAAAAGGCGGGGGGAAGTGCCAATTTTTAGGCTAACACCACACTAGGAGAGGCTATTTTGGAAAGAGTCATCATGGTTGGAAATGAGCAAAAAAGAGGAAGACCTACAATGAGATTAATAGACACAGTGACTACAGGAATGGGCTCAAGTGTGTCAGAGATGATGAGGACAGCACAATATAGAACAGGGTCAGATCTGTTTTTCAGAGTCACTGTGAGTTGTACTCAACATTACCTAACAACAACAAATGTTCAATGTACTAGAGCTTAATTTTTCCTACTTATCTACTTTATAATTCCATTTCTTGCAAAATATTTGTGATTCTGAAAAGATTTTCAGGTTGTCGGAATTATAGACCAAAACCGTTACCATTGTGTCAATTCCAACTCATTGTAGCTCTCAAAGACAGAGTAGAATTGCTCCGTAAGGTTTTAGCCTGACAAGAAACCCCTGAGAAAGCAGCACCAGTAATTTCCTTCTGAAAAATCTGAGCCTTAAAAACTTGGAGCAGTTCCATTCCACACACATAGGCTCATTATGAGTCAATACAGGTTCCAAAGTAACTAACAATTAAAACAACCTTCATGGAGGCATTCTTCATAACTTTAATCAAAATCAACTTGCAAATAAAAGCACAAACCAAAAAGGTAAGTAAGAAGGTAGATCCTACTTTTTGTTTTATGGAAATACTTGGTTCTACAGAAATCTTTAATTTCAGGTCCTCACACTTTGAAACTAAGTACTTACGTTTTCTAAGAGGCAAACAGCAGCAGGATTCCCACGAAATGCTTTTGCTGTAAATGCATCTGCTATGAAAATAGGGAGCTTCATTTTTGTGCAAGCTGTTTTCTTCAAGCTCTCAAAAGTGCTGGTATCTGTTTCACTTGTGATTGTTGTGAAAAACCAAAAAGTTAATGTTTTACTTGGTATACAGAAGCAATTAACAGTTTCCAGATACAGAGTCAAGCAATTATTTCTAACACAACTTAATTAATGATACATAATCCTGTAACATTTTAATTTAATTTATAAACGAGTTTGTTTCAAAATACTACAGAAATAGAATATTTTCATATTTTTAATGAGTTCTTTATATATGTGTGTATATATAATCTAACAATACTACCATATCCTTTCTTAAAGTAGCCCCTATTAGCTATGTTTTTAATGAAGTGTGTGAAAAGTCCAAGAGATAAGTAAGCTGGCCCTTCCTAAATAGTATTACTACCCTTTAAGCCCCTTTAAAATAATTAATAATAACTTAAAATTTTTAAAATCATAAAATTATAATTTACTTTTATCAACATAATATATATTTTAACTTTTCTAATTATAAAAAATGTGCTCACATATAAAGTCTGGAAAATAAAAAAATAGAAACAGAGGGGTTTGTGCGGGGAGAAGGGTGCAACAATGAATGAATGGAATTCCAAAATCTCTGTAGATGTTCATTGAAATGAAAAATAAACAAACTAAATTAAAAAAAAAAGCTTCCAACCCAGCTCCCTCTAGGAAGATGCAAGGGTGTGTGGAAAGACTAGATATCTCACCAGATTGTTAAAGTTAAAGGAACTTTAAAACCTTTACATGTGTCTGATACATGACACTTTATCTTTAAATGGACAGGAAGCAGGCAAAGGAGCAGCAGCTTGAAGTCTCTATTATCATGTACCACTGAGTCGATTCTGACCCACAACAACCCCAAATGATGAGTAGGACTGTCTCATAGGCTGTTATTGTAAGCAGAGCTCTAGTCTAGGACTGTCTCACAGGCTGTCAATGTAAGCAGAACTCTAGTCTTTCTCCCTCAGAACCACTAAGTGGGCTTGAACTACCAACTTGCTGGTTGGCAACCAAACATTTAACCATTGCACAGCCAGGGTTCCTTAGCTTACAGTTAAAACTCAAACCTCATAGTCATCAAGTCTAAACTGTCTCATAGCTGATCCTCCAACAGATTTTTGGGGTTGTAACTCAAACAGGAGGAAACTGTCTTTTTCCCAAGGTGTGGATTAGAATCTTGAGGGAGGAATTGCTTTTGGGTTAACAGTTCAATGTCCTATGGAATAGGCCACCCGAGCTCCCAGCTTAAAGTCAGGCAAGTGGGAAAAAACAAACAAACAAACAAAAACCAGAAAAGAGCAGTCTTACCACGCATCTCCTTCTTCCCCAACTTCTGGGACCAGTAACTGCTGAGAACTGTATGTGCAGACCCTTCAAAGAAGCAAAAAGTTATCATTATAATACGTCAACCCAGAAGAAAACAGAGGCTTTTTGGTAAATTTTAAGCAATTACAATCTATCATGCACAGTGATTCCAGTTTTACTAAGCCATCCACAACCTAACCACCCTCTTGGGCATGGCCACAGAAGAGTATCTAATTAGGAGTTGTAAAGACAGACCCACCCATCAACAAATGAATGGATAGAGAAGCAGTGGTATATTCACATAATGGTATATTATGCAGCAC